CTCTCCCTAATAACTACTTTTCTACCTAAACTTAACTTTTACTTCACTCTTACTAAGAATTTGCCTCAACCAGGTTTATTTAACATCTAAGAGCCTTGTTGTGTCATATAAGTTGTCAAATTAACAAGATTTAACCCTTTTTAAGTGTTAATGGTTGATTATTCAACTTATGTAAAACCCTTATCCATCTTCCAATGAGTTTGTATGTAAATAATTRTTTTGTAAAATAAATATCATTTATTTTTAGATAAACTTTATTGACTACGATACTCATTGTCAAAGTCTTGGTCATAATAAAGGTGATGGTTATGAATATTAGTATTTAAAATTTTAAAGAACCCGTTTCCTCATGTATTAACTATATTAATATTAGTCGATATTAATTAGGTTGAATATGAGAAGTTATGTTGAAAAATCCTCTACATAAATTGGTGGCCCGTACGGGGATAATATTAAATATTGATATTAATTTCTGTCGCATTTAAAGATGACTCAATCTGCATTAATGCTGAATAAATGCAGTCAATTCTGCCAGTGATCGAGAGAAATCAATTGTGCTGTTATTTGACTGAGCATGTCGGAAAATTACTAGGAACTGCAGACCTGGTTTTTTAGACATTTGTCAATATAATTAAAACCTTTGATCTCTTAAGAAGTCACTGTCAGTTAGTTAAAGAGTGTTGTGTGATGACTTTTAAGCATTTCACGATACGACAGTCTGTTTGTACTAGCTCTTGCGAGATAGTTAATGTGCATGAAAGGTGTGCATGTTGTTTTCAGATCTTTAAGCGTGTTTTACATGGCTGATCTGTCAGATTTATRTCAGAGGACTCGAGAGGAGTCRTTGATAGAATAAATCTTTTACTCCTTTAGCTGAAAGAATTTGAAGAATTCTAGGTTACGCCATAAATTTTGACTGGTTTATGAGCGAGGATTCAGCAGTAAAGCTGCTGTGTTGAAGCTGCAGAGCAGCTCTGTTCGGTTCAGACCGACCCGGTTCTGATCCATTTGACAGTCTAAAGTGGTTTATGAGCAAAAAGGCTAAAAGTTGACCTCTTAATTGTGTTAATCAGTTTTAGTTCGTGGAACTTCTGTATCAAAAAGTGGGTAAGGAATGACTTATAGCCATTGCAGGACGCGGTTCTGACCGGTCCAAGTTGAGCTCATAAAAAGCTGCCGCTTGTTGAAGCGGCCGGCAGACAGACAGCCTCAGGGAGTTAATCTGTTTTAAAGCTGATTAACTTGAGTTGTGCTGTGTTGATTTACCTCGGACGCTGCTCCGACATGCTTTTTGAATCTTGTGAAGTGTTATGCTGTGTTTTTTATGCTGTTCACCGCTGCGGTGGTGCTGGCTAACACAAAAACACACACACACACACACACACCCACTCCAACACACACACACTCACAGACGCTCGAGCAGTTAGAGTGTCTTTAAAGTTTTTTACGAGTGCTTAAAAACGCCTCCAGGACGCGATAAGGTTCACAAAAGTCATAAGTATGCAGTGCTAACTTTCTTTTGTGAAATTCGGTCATTAAAGACGTCAATCCAATTAGTTCCTATAGCTAACTAGCTGCTAATACGGAGCTACCTAGGCTAAGCGCTAAAAACAGGAAGCTCCGCCATTTTGACTTTGGGCGAGTGTGTCCGAACCGGAACCTAAACTGCTCCTAGTGGTCAAAATAAATATTTCGCCATCTAGTGGTCGAAACTAATCAATGCAAGTGTTGTAGGCCTCAGAAAGGCCTTAGAGGAGAAACAATCTTAATTCAAGCAGAGAAAAGGGAAAAATAACGCTTTTAGTGTTATATTTCAACCACAAAGCTGTTAATGAATAAAAAAAGGGTTTATTTCTAAAGTTTTTCCTAAGATTTTACAGGGTTAAACCAGTGTTTCAACTTTTGTCTGGCTGACACTGAAAAGGGGGGTTTTCATAAAAC